TATCCATCCAATTGGATTGGTCCCAAAGGACCTAGAATTCACCCTTCATTACAATCGTCAAACACAAAACCTTCTGCCAATGCTGTTGTCTCCAATAACCCTACTCCCACCTTCACTCCTTCAATGACTGACAAATTGTTTGCTGAGTTTTTAGAATATAAAAATTCTCAGGGAAAGGCTCAGGCTGAGTCAACTCCCACAGCTGCCACTGTTCACATAGAACAACAAGGTACCTTTTCATTAAATTGCCAGTCCATTTCTTCATTTACCAAAAATACATGGATTCTTGATACAGGGGCCATTGATCACATGATCTGTGATCCTTCATTTTTTTCAAAACCTTCCACCCCTACTTCTATCAAAATCAATTTACCAAATGGACATAACACACTTGCAAGCCATGTGGGACAGATAAATCTGGGGCCTAATCTTGTGCTGCAAAATGTGCTTTATGTTCCTAACTTTACCTTTAACCTCATATCAGTTTCAAAGCTAACTTCTACTAACAATTGTTATGTAAAATTTGCTTCATCTTATTGCACTTTACAGGAGCTGCAAACCAACAAAATGATTGGTTTTGCTGAGGCTCAGAATGGTCTCTATCATCTTTCCTTTAATGATTGTACTCCTGTCATAGCTGCTAATTCCCATGTAACTGATTGTAATCAGACTAATGATGTCTCTAATTTGCCTCATGTACCTTCTCCTGCTGAATTGTGGCATTTTAGATTAGGACATTTATCTTTCCATAAGCTTTCATGTATTCCTGAGTGTTCTTCCATCAATTGTAAAAATTTTCTTTCCATGCCCTGTGATTGTTGCCATTATGCAAGACAGAAAAGATTGCCATACAATAACAGCATTTCCATTGCATCTGCACCATTTGATCTCATACATTGTGATTTATGGGGTCCCGTTTCTGTTCCATCTCACTCTGGTCATAGATACTTCCTTACTATTGTTGATGACTATAGCAGGGTAACATGGGCGTATCCTTTAACACACAAATCAGACACTAAACATTATTTACCTCATTTCTTTAATCTCATACTCAATCAATTTAACAAAAAGATCAAATGCATCAGATCAGATAATGGTTCTGAATTCTTCTTACATGATTTCTTCAAAACTAATGGCATCATTCATCAAACATCTTGCATTGAAACACCTCAACAGAATGGTAGAGTAGAAAGAAAGCATCAACATTACTCCAAGTTTCTAGAGCCATTCTGTTCCATGCCCATATGCCTTTACATTTCTAGATTGACTGTGTTACTGCTGCCACTCATATCATTAATAGAATCCCATCATCTGTGCACAATAACATTTCTCCCTTTGAAAA